CTGGAGAGGTAATGCCTGGGATTGGAAGGGGGGGCTCCGCTCAGCAGCCCGGGCACCGCTGCCAGCCCCTCTTCTCGCCCCATTCCGGCAGCGTGGGGAGCAGCGTGCTCTCCTGGCTCTCCCAGGGGCTGGAGAAGGTGATTCCGCAGCCGACCCGGGCGCCAGGGGCRCTGCAGGCGCTGGGCAAGAGCTTCGAGACCAGCATCGATGCTCCCGATCAGGTAAGTGGGTCCGGACATGAGCTCCTTGCTCCCTGGGCGCTTGGCAGCAGCGCAGTCTGCAAGCAGCTCCAGAGACAGGGTGCTGGGGGTGCCCTGCCCYGGGAGCCCTCCCTGACAGCGAGTCTGTGCTCGGCTTCTCAGACCGAAGTTCAGATCCTCCGGGATGAGGAAGAGGATGCTCTAGGTAAGGCGATGCTCAAGCCAGGCCCTGTACCAAGGGCGAATGCGGCCACATCACACACAAGGGCAGCCCTGCAAGCAGGTCTGAGGGGTGGTTCCATCCTCCCYTCCATCCTCTCCTTGTTTCCCCATGCAGAAATAACCCCCTTTGATGCAGAAGAGGATGAGCTGGATGGCGGTGAGAGTGATGCCAGTGTGGACACGGCCGGGAGCTGGTAGGTGTCACGGTGCCTTTGCAGAGCAGGTCCAGCCCTTCCCATTCCCAAATCCCCTTYCCTGCTGGGGTATCCGATGCCTTCTCATGTCTCCAGTGCTGCCTCCATCCCATGGCCAGCAGTGGCAATGGGGTGGCTGGAGCAGGGCTGACACAACGYGCTGCCTCCCCAGGACATCCAGCCGAGTCTTCAGCTGGCTGGCGCAGGGCTTCGAGCGGATGGTGCCACAGCCGGAGGTGCCCCGGAAGGCCCAGGTGAGCACACTCCCCTCCGTGGGAATTTTCCTGCTGATTTTCCCCAAATCACACTTTTGGGGCTCTGGCACATGAGGCTGGATGGGATGATGCTGAGCTGGGACCCACCGTGGCCCCGGTGCCGGCAGGGCTGGCAGAGGGTCCATCCATCCCTCTCTGCATGTCCTTCTGCCACAGGAGCCAAAGCAGGAGAGGCCCAAAGAGCCGGCGCAGGAGCAAGGTGAGTGACCYGCCACTGGGTGAGGCACTTGTGCTAAAGCAGCCGTGGCCTCCTGTCCGTGAGCACCTGGCATCACTCTTGGGGCCGGAGCTGCGATGCCAGATCCCGYGCTGGGCACCACCAGGGTGGAGCTGCCAGGAAAGTCCCCATGCGGTTATAAAACCTCTGCCCGTTGCCTTTTCCTTCTCCCTGAATCGACCTGAGCAGACGCCACAAAGAGCCAGGCCTCGGAGGAGCCCAAGGGCAGCAGCTGCGGCAGCCAGAGCCTCCCCGGAGCAGCGGAGCCGGYAGCRGCCGCCCCGCAGCCCGGCCCCRCAGCCAGGGGCAGCAGGTAAGGGTGGCAGCAGCTCGGGCCGGGGGGATGGCGGCCCCGGCGGGGTCCCACGGGGGGTTCTGCCCCGCAGGATGTTGGGCTGGTTCGTGCAGGAGCTGGAGAAGGTGATGCCACAGCCCGCGTTCCAGGCGCCGCCGCGAGCCCAGGTGAGCAGGGTTGGAGTGACACCGGGGTGGGCAGGGGATGCCCCACGGRTGCGTGGCCATGCTGGGGCTCATGGTTCCCTCTCCCCCTCGCAGGGAGGAGCCGCCACCTTGACCCCCGTGGAAGCAAGTAAGTGATCGTGGAAGCAAGTAAGTGCTCGCTGCTCCCGCTGTGGCATCGCCCCCGGGCTGGGTTCCACCCTTGGGTTACTGCTCCGCATGCAGACGCAGGTAGAAAGCCCTTGAAGCTGCGTCTTTGGCACTAGTGCCAACCTCAGGGTCTGTCCTCGAGCTGTGCCAGAGGATGGTGGCCAAGGTGTGAGGGTGTGACGGAGGGCTGCGCTCCCAGGGACACCCAAAGCGGCGGCCTGCTGGGGATWGCCGCCCGGCAAACCCCACTGGCAGGCGGAGAAAAGGCCCTGAAGGCTCCTTAATGTTTTCCTTCTCCTTTTGTTTCAGGGAGCAGAGGGGCTTAGTGCCTCTGAAACAAACGGAAAACAAAGAYGGTGGAGAGCCGGCCTTTTCCCTCACTAAAACCAACCCAACTTGGAAAGAGAGAGCGCACGGTCGGGCAGGAAGAGCCTTCTCCTCTGCTTGCTTTGTCAGCTCCAAGAACCAGGGGGGCTGATAGCGCAGAATGGGGTCGAGAGAGAGGCTGTGATTTATCCAAGGGTAGGAAAGCATCAGTCAGGGCAGCTCTTGGGCCAAAAAGCTTCCTGCTCTGGTCACTCGTGAACCTCTCAGACCACCCCTAGCATCCCGGTACTCCCTGCCAGGACCTACAGCTGAAGCCCATGGGGTTCTTTAATCTACTCTTGCCTCCCTGTGCTGCTGCTTTGCAAAGCTCCTCCACGGTGCAAAACTCTTGGGGCTCTCGGGGGCTTCACATTGGCTTTCCAGCATTATTTGCTTCTGGCAAGTGGAACACGGGATTGATTTGCACGAGCAGATGCCCGAGGGTGAGATTAATCCAAGAAGAATAGGTAGGACGTAATGGCTACAATCCTCTGCCCGGGCTTTCCTTATGGGAAGGAGCGCTAGGTACATCCTGTTGCTGCTGCCCCTGGTGCCATCTACTTTTTTAGCTATAGTGCTGAAGTCGGGAGCTTGGCAGCAGGGAAAACACCTCCCACAGGAATGGCTCCCGTGGGAATGTGTGCAAACATAGGAATCACAGGCACCTTGTGTAGTGCTGGGCAAAGAGCCCCTAAAAGCCTCATGTTCTTTTAACATCCACCACCTCCTTGCATCTCCTTAGGATAAGGCAGGCAGCCCTAGGGATGGGGCATCACCCAAACGAGCAAGTGAAAGGATCCTATCTCTGGTGGCTCTGAGCCCAGCTGGTCACAGGCTGCAGTTTTAGCAGTCCCCCTGTTTCCGTGTAACGTGTCAAGTCATCACAGCGTGCTCCAAAACGTGTCCTCATCCTGTGCATTGAGGGATGTCATGGGAGAAAAGCAAAGGAAACGGTGTGCTGCAGTGGCACGGAGCACTACGAGGCGAGCGTGTGATATGGGAAATATCATACAGAACAGACAGCACCTAAAGTTGTTTTTTCCCCCTTATCTTTCTGTATTTAAACTTGCATGTGTTTCCCCTTAATTCCACTGTGGGCCTCTATGTTCCCTTGAGTTTTGTGGCTGTGAGACCTCCCAATAAACTGTTTTTACAGTAAGCGGATGCACTTCCTCCTCCTCTTGTTTTTCTGGCACACGACTAGTGYTATAGGAGCTGCATAGACATGGCAGGACCTGGACTCTTATAAGTGCTGGGGACTTTGGGTTGGATCTGTGTCTTATGTTGGGCAGAAAGATGATCTGATGTTCTCTCAGATAGCAGGGTCRCATACTGCTCCTGCCCGTGGTGTTGGGAACTAGCTCGTGGATGAAGGATATCTCCCAAGCCAAGTGCTCGATCACCATCTGGCTTTGGGAGGTGATGTGGCATCCTTGGTGGTGGCCACCAGAGGCAGTGATGGAGGCTTTGGGGCCACTGGTGTCCCAGTGTGGAAAACTCAGCCCCATATCTGCAGTGGGCAGCAGGGAATCCAGCCCTTTGGATGCTCGTAGGAGCAGGGCTGTGAACATCTCACCACGGTTGCTTGTGCTTGCAGCTCCCCGTGCTTGCAAGAACCAAAATGTAGATGGGCTAAATCCTCCTCTGCTGGAGGTGAGCACACCTGTAGGGAYGGTAGGAGACATCCCTATGCAAAGTGGTTTATTTTTCATGCGACTTTTGATATGTCCAGCCTGAAGTGGAGAACGTTCTTCTCCCTTCCATAAAATATTCCCCAGCCATCGTCTGCACAGCTCCAGGAGAGACCAGCCCTTCTAGAGACCCATGCRAGGCTGAGCAGCACTGCAGGTCTAGCATACGGCAGCACCTGGGCATTTAGTACCTGCTGTGGCCTGCTAAACTGTGGGATATGGTTGGGTGTAGACCTCCAAAATGGGCTACTCTTACATCTTCCCCACTTTTCCTGTTCCAGTCCATATTTCCCCAGAGAATCATGTGGAGATGGATCTCATAGCGGAAGAGATGGATGCCGAGTGGAGTAACGAGGCCACATACATGACTGKGGCTTGGGATCCTGAGGCCAAGCTGGTGGCAGATGCTCGTCGTCTTCCCCCCATAAAAGAAGAGCTTCAGGAGGAGGAATACAGGTAGCAGACGTGCGCGGAGCTTCAAGGGCACAAGCTGAGCTGAAATGCCCTCTTGCCAGCGTTCAGCGTGGTACGCAGGAGAGCTGGCTGGGATGCTTGTGTCTAAGTGGTGGCCAAGGCGTATCCAAGAGGCTGGGTGTATTGCACGAGCTAGGTGTGAGGTTGTGCATCCCCGCTCCCAAGCAGCTGGGGAGCCTTCTAGGCCAAAGTTGTGGCCAGGGCTTGACGACAAAGACGTATCAGTACAAGATGCCCTAGCACGAGCCGTGCGCATGGGTGTTTTGCCACGCTCACAGACGGTTGGATGGAGGAATCTAAGTCTGGGTAGGACCTAAATCACACCACAAAGCTTGGAAGATTAGGTAGTCCTATCTGATGCTGTCGAGAAGTCCTCCAAGACCCCCATGTTTCCTCAAAGGAGCCATGCAGACCCAAGGTCCCGTTTGCTGCCTGGTGTGATCCCCACCATCAGTCTGTCTGAGCACAGCTGTAGAGAAGTAGAAGAGGGGACCAGCAGTGAGGCAGCCCTGTAAGGGCGACGCGGCGGCTGCTTTTAGACCGCCRCTTTTAAAGCCTCTCCGCTGCCCTGCGGCACCTAGGAACAGGCGAGCGTCTCCTAGCGACGCGCTTCCCGGCTCCGGAGCGCCGGGCTCTCCCGGGAGCCCTGGCAGCTCGCGGGTCCCCCCAGCCCTCACCCCGGCAGGAAAAACACATCYGGAACAGCAAAAATGGGGTGGAAAAACGTGGCTTACAAGCAGCTCCGCATTGCTTAACCGCTCCGGGACTAATTGAGCACCGCGGGGATTGTTGCGGATGTTATGGAGCCGGATTTAAGCACGGGATTATCCKTCATGCCTGCAAATACTACATCAGGTGCGTAGGTATGTTTTTAGACCCCTACCTTGTCCTGCTGAGAAAACCAGCTATTACCATCAGCTGCCAAAGGTGGTGGCTTTGGACTAGCCAGAATATGGAAAATCCGCTCGCTCCCGTTTCCTCCACACTGTCAACACCTGCGGGAGGCTCTGCCCGCCGCTCACAGGCARCTGGATTTGCAGCAAGGAGCTGGAATTGCAGGGAGATTTCAGAGTGCTAAGGCTTGGAAGGCCTTTTTGCATTTGCAGCAGCACTGGGATGGAGAGAGGGAGCATCATTGTCCCGGTCTATGGCATGTTCCCAGGTTTATGGAGAAGTCCGCAGATTTTCCAGAAAAAAAAAAAAAGCTTGTGAATGTGTTTTTGAAGATCTCTTATCTTTTTTTTTCCCCCAGTTCTAAAGTCCTATTAAAGAAGCTAATGAAAATAATCCAAGATAATCTGTCAAGCCCCATTTGTGGGCAATTGCAAAAGGCTACGAGGACTGCTCGCTTATAGACAGGAATATGGGATTTGGGATAACATTTGCATTGCGGGGCAGTCGGGCTCTTGGGTGGCTCTTAGCACAGCGTTTGCTCTGAGAGACACCCTAGGGTGGCTGTTCCCCCTGTGTCATGCAGAGCCTTGCTCCTGCCCGCTGGTGACGATGACTGCGCAGAGGAAGGTTTCTTGGTAGCAGCCTCCACGGATTGTGAAACTCTTGGAGGCACTGAGTCAAGCGACCCCGAAGGCACTTTTATACAGGTAGAGGAAGGTTTTTTGCTGCAATTTCGGGCTACCATAAACCTGTTGCAGCTGGGATCTGCAACCCAGGGCCATCCTGTGGATCCCCTAAAACTGTACAGAAATATTGTCTCTTTTGCTTGTAGTTGAAGTAGATATTTCTCTCCTTAAACTGCCTCTCTGTATTTCCAAGGTAGAAGAAAAGATCGCCGAGGCTGCYGAAGCTGACGTTGAAGGTACCGTAGGTTGGATCATGACAAGTGGAAGTAGGTGGTGAGATACCCAGGGAAGGGAAAACCTTCCACCCATTTTTTCAGGAAAGGGGCCGAGGGGACACTTGGATGCCAGCCCCATCATGGGTTGGAGATTTCTTGGCTTTCCCCTGGCAGTAGCACGGCCGAGCATTGCAACTCCGTGTGGCGGCTCAGCAAGCGTCCCCGCCGCTCGCTTAGCTCCCCACCACGCGCGTCGCCTCCCTGCGCGCTCGACCTACTTGCTATCCCTGTCTCAGATGACTCTGTGTTTCTCATTGCAGCTGCAGATGCCCTGCCCTTTGCTTGAGGCACCTAGGCGCCTAGAGCATGGCCAAGCGCCCCCGAGGCCTCGAGCTCCACCGGCTGGTGCACGACAAGCCGCTGGAGCGCAGGAGAGCATCCCCTCCCCGCCACGGCGCCCTAGAGCAGCTGCCCAATGTCCCCAGCTACCGAGCCACCGCTGCCTCCCACATCCCCGTCCTCATCTCCAGAAAGCCCACGGCTGGCGTCGTCAACCCCAATTTTGCCGATGAGGAGCAGTCCCCTGCCCACCCCCTAGGTAGCTGCCACATGGGCTCGGGCCACGTGCTTGCGTAGCTTGGCTAGGTCTTGATTTCAGCCATGTGCTTGTGTAGCTTGGAGGGACGCTGGCCTTGGTCATGGGCCTGTGTAGCTCGGTGGCGTGTCGGCTTCAGCTGTGTGTTTGCATAGCTTGGAGGGATGCTGACTGTGGTCACGTGCTTGTGTTTCTTGGTAGGACTTAGCCTTTCTCCACGCACTCGTGCAGTTTGGTGGGGGCCAGCTTTTAGTTCTGGAGCAGTTGGTCTTTGGTGCTCTTTTTTTTTTTTTTTTTCTTATTTTTTAAATAAAAGCATGCTTCATACTGCACCACAGAAGCTGAGGAGCACAAGCGATGGTCTCGTAGCCTAGGTTTTGCTGCTGCCCCATAACTATGTCCCCTTCTAACTCAGCCCCTAAAAAACCTTCTCGAGCCATTAGTGCTCACTGTGGCAATTGTATTTAGAGCACGGGGCCAGTGCTTGTTTTCTGAGAGAAAGCTGTGCCTGGGGTAATCCCAAAGCACTCATTCACTTTGCAATGCTCTTCTTCCTTGAGGGCCGAGCCAATGCCCAGCCATAAACATCAAGGACGTGGATGGCCTGGCGGATGCTCTGGAGAGCGAGGCCGGGTACGTGCAGGGGCTGGCACCAAGCCCCAGGCACGTGCTGGCGGTGCCCAGCGTGGCCGTGGCTTCCRCCAGGTAGGACGCGATTCCCCCCCTTCCCGCTTGCATCATGGGGATACGGGTTTGGGAGGGAAAATACAGCCAAAATAGCAAATCGTGTGGTTTCTCAAAGTGCCACAAACCAGGTGTTTGATCCATCCGTTTCTGAAGAGGATGTTGGGAAATGAGATGACTCAAATKGTTGATGAGGAACTGGGCAGTAGCAATGCTATGACCAGCACCAGATCAGGAGCCAGGAGGCWGCTCCTCTCTGGGCGTTCATACTGAGCACAAAAAGGTGCTGTAAGGGCACAACGAGGAGTCTGGGCCCCTTGTTTAGGCGTTTGCCTCCACCAACAGGGAGATTGAGGGGGTGATTTATATTTTTGTTGCCTGTATTCCAATYCTCTCATATTTTTTTTTTCCAGTGTATTTTTGTAACTTGGCTTGTGCAGCTCTCCCTATCTGGACTGTGCACTTACATCTCTAAAAATGCTCTTTTTTATATGTTTAGGTTCATGGTTGCATACTCTGCGGCATTTGATTTGCATCTTGTCCCACACTATAAAAATGTCTTTATTAGTCAACCAGTGAACACTTTGCAATGCTTTGGTTACTTCAGTGGGCACTAACAAGCGCATTGACTGGGGAATGCAGAATTCTGACTATTTAGAGCAGACTTTGGAATTTGTTGCTTAGTTCCTTGTGTTGATTATTTATCTGACTCTCACCTTTAGCTTTAACTTACTATATTTAGTGTCTCCTGCTAGTTAGCTGTGCATCTGCTGGTTCACTTCACTTTCTGGGAGAGGAGCTTTGAAATCTTTATGCATTGATGGAAAAATCTGATCTTTAGGGACAAGCTGACCACTGTTCTGGAGATCCTGTCCCAAACAACATCTACTGGAAGTGCAGCTGGAGCATATCAAAGGACTAGATATTACCCAGGGAATTACACTTTTATTTTATTTTATTTTATTTTATTTTATTTTATTTTATTTTATTTTATTTTATTTTATTTTATTTTATTTTATTTTATTTTATTTTATTTTATTTTATTTCAATTTCATTTTTTCCCAAAGATGACAAAGAAAATGAGACCTGATAGGGTTTTGCATCGGTTGAAGATGTACACGTTTCACTATAGGATTTAAGATAAGAGCCATAATTTCCTCAGGCCTTTTACCTGAACTTTTCAAAATAAGCTGAAATTCACATTCTTTTTCGGGTTKCCTCCTGTTCTAATGGCAGCATCTGTCAGCAAAGTAGGTGAGTTGCAGGCACTGCAAAATATCAAAAACTTTCTCCCCTAGATCTCTAGCCTTAAAAGATGTTTATCATCGTTTACTTCCTTCCAAACCTAATCTGTTCCATTGAAGCAAAAAGCTTTGACCCATTTTTTTTTTTACCGAACAGCAACTGACAGAAAAAACTTGGTGCATATTCAGAGGAAGCCAAGTGAGCTTTGAGGGACCTCAGATCATGGGCAAAGAGCAAGACTGTGATACCCTTTTAGATGTGCACATTTTTGAGCTGGAATCCATTGGGTGCTTGATGGAGTTGAGTTGCTTGGGTGTGAGGAGGGCAACGTGATCCTTGGAAGAAGGCAAGTGCAGAGATGAGTAGCTGCCTAGAGTGGCAAGAGTTGATAGGCTTGTCCTAAGAGCATGAAGACACCTGGGAGGACTATTTCGCTTGGAGATGAACTGATGTGGCTGGGGAACCTCTTGGTCCATAGCTGAGCGTATGAAGATGTGAAATAAAGGGGAGAATGGGTTCATTCCTGTGATCTGAGCTCTGAGTGTTGTGTTTGTCTATCCAGGAGGCAGGTGCTGGCCCCAGAAGACACCCTGTACGAGGCCCCTCCGACCTCAGCAAGTCAATCTCCCGTGCGAACACGGCCTGGCCACGACAATGAGGAGAGAGACAAGTGCGTGTAGCCCGAGGAGCAGAGGCACAAGCCTTCTTTGCAAATCTGCTTGGCTTTTCAAGTTTCCTATCCTGGTGCTTGGGCTGAAACACAGAAGATCTTAGAAATACTGGGTTACCAAAGAGAGAGAAAGCGATGCACACACAGCGTATAATGATCCTCCTCCCACTGACCCTCTCTAAACCAACAAGCACAGGGGAAGCTCTTTTTTTTCCTTTCTCTGTGCAGATAGAAATGTTCTTCATAAGACCAAACTTAACCCTGGAGGTTGACCCCCACATACTACAGTGGTAGCAGAACCCCTTGCTTTACCTAATTGCTGGGAAATAACCTTGTTCTTCCATTGAAAAAGAAAAAAAAGATGTTCTGTATGTTGTCACGTGGGTCCTGACTTCTCTGTCCTGTGCATATCCTCTCCAAATGCTCTCCTAGTCCCAAGAAAAGCAAATACAGGCTGGCACCTTCCTGAAAACCTGCATGTGTGATTTGCATCTTAGAGCAGATGTGAAGGTCTGATATTGGTGACTAGCTTGCTGAATCCATGCTGCMGGTCACACCTGCTTTTCTAATTATACAATAACTATATAAATAAAAGTAAATCCTAGCTAAGACTCTTAGAAGTTAAAACATAGGCCACGGAGGTACTTTGGGGCTTTCTTACAYGAGTGAAGTATCTGATGGTCTCTTCACAGTCTGCCAGAACGCATTGGTTCAGCCACAAGCCAGAGCAGTGCAGTTATCAATGACAGGCTCCAGGAGTTGGTGAAGCTCTTTAAAGAGAGGACTGAGAAGGTGAAAGAGAAGCTGACAGACCCCGATGTCACGTCTGACGACGAGACCCCTGTGGCATGTGAGTTAAAGTCTTGAAGGCTCCATGTCTTCCTTCCAGGGGCTTATGGGCCCTAGGCTGGGAATCGGAAGGAAGGCTGGGGAGTTACAGATATAAAATGCATATAAATATAAGAAACATATATAAAAGGCAGCTTTATAGTCAGAGCTTTGAAATCTTCARGCTGGGGGGAGCTTCACGAGCATGGGACTGGGAAAGCCTGGGGCTCTCACAGCACCTATTGAATCCATGGGTGCCCACGCACCCTGTGTTTTCAGGAAGGCACCAATTGCATTAATGCYTTAGAGCTTTTCAGATGAATGAGGATTCTCTGCCGTGGAAAATAAYGCTGTGGATTCTCCCAGCCCCTTCCAAGCAAGCCCCTGCGGAAGCGCCGCCGCCTCCCCCGGGACAGGAGCCGGAGGCGGCCAAAGCAGCAGAGGACGAGCATTACTGCGAGATGCTGTGCTGCACGTTCAAGTATCGACCCTGGCTGGACCGTGTGAAAAGCTACCAGTTCCCAAGCAGTATAGACCCACTCACGAGTGAGTGCCGGCGCGCGGCTCGGCCCCACTGGGCCGTGAGAAAGCTGGTGGCAGCGGGAGAGGAGGAAGAGTGTGGGAAGCAGGCGAAGAAGTGGCAAAAAAAAAAGAGAAGAAAGCTAAGAAGGGATTGATGTATGTTTAGATGTGCAAAAGAAATCAGCAATAGAGATCCCATTATAATCCGTAGGCTTTTCTAAATATCCCCTGGCGACAGGCAGWGTCACAGCACCATGCAAATCCATTGGGAAACCAGCTTCATCCTTAACATTTTCTGTACTCTGACATTAGAAGCCACCAGCCTTAAGCAGGCAACTCTCAGCCTAGTATTGTTTCAAAGAAGAGAAAAAGAGAGGAACTAAATTAGCATTGTATTGCCAAAGCTTGAGCCAATCAAGATAGAAGGGACTTTCCAATAAAATGCAGTTTTAACTTAGAGTCCCACTTTTATAWCCTTTCTGCTTAGCTCTTGCAATCAAACACTGGAGGGAAGTCCCAGATCTTCTGCAGGGTTCATAGGAGACCTTGTTGCACATAGGGCAGGATGGGAGACGRAAATTTCATGGGTGGTGGATGCGAATGATTTCAGGGAGCGTTGCGCACTAACCCCGGCCCTTGTCTCCCTGCGTGCAGACCTGATGTATGTGCTGTGGCTCTTCTTCGTGGTCCTGGCCTGGAACTGGAACTGCTGGCTCATTCCTGTCCGCTGGGCCTTTCCCTACCAGACCCCGGGAAATATCCACTACTGGCTGCTCATGGACTATCTCTGYGACCTCATCTACCTCCTAGACATCGTAATCTTTCAGATCCGTCTCCAGTTTGTCCGTGGGGGAGATATAATAGTGAGTGGCAGTGTGCCTTGCCTCCTGTGAAGAACCTCTCTATAAGTATCTTGTCTGATATTAGAGACCTCTTGACTCCATTGTCCAAAGTGGCAAGAAAGGTGTTGGCCATAAGTACTTGAAACAAGTTCTCTCACAGAATAACAGTCATCTCTTCTACCACACAGCTGATGCACGGGTGGCTTCTAGTCCCCTCCACATATACATCTTTCCCATAAAGTCAATGCCACTTAGGAAACGCATGACCCCTGGTGCCTTCATTCCCAGAGCCAGGATGCTTGGATGTCAGCCTGGGTGGCTGCTCCTAAATTCTGCCAAAGATGAGTGAGACATGCCGTTGGGCTCCAATTTAGCCACGGCTTGTACGCTTCCAGCTAAGAACCAAGGGCGTGATCAGTCCTGGGCTGAATTTCCTGGAGGACATTTAGGCAGTGGGGATTAGTGACGGGAAGGAAGCGTTGCCATCTGAATGCAGAGCTCATGTGTCTGAGATGCAGGATGACGTGAAAACTCTTGATTTCCATTCCAAGTCCAATGAAATCAGCCATGAAAAAACATGCTTTAGGGGAACAAAATGGGAAAGCAAGGGGTGACTGAGTCTGTGCTCCCTTTCCTTTCTGCTCTGTTCTGTGACAATCTCTCCCTTTCTTTCTCCTATTCCCAAACAGAGTGACAAAAAAGCAATGAAGGAGAACTACCTGAAATCAAAACGCTTTAAGGTCTGACACATTTTATTTTCTTGTCCTGTACATTTTGCTCTTTTAAGGATATGGGAATGACAATCAGTTTTTGAAGTCATTTGCTACCATGTCTTCTAAGCCATTGGAGTATTAATTTGAGCCATTTACAAGAAATATATTTTCATATATTTTCAAGGATTGGTGGGTAGGGTGGCGTGGAGGTACTTGAGCTGACCTGATTGGGTTTGAAATGGGAGGAACGGACACAAGGGCTCTGTTCTCTCCATGTGCCTACTTGGATTGTGACCACATGTAAGGGACAGGACCAACGGGGAGCACCCATAAGGGACAGGACCACAAGGCTCAGAGCGCACCGGGACTGACAGCCTCAAGGCTTGGCAGGGCACCCATGTAGCTCTTCCCGGGTGGACGGAGGGGTGCGGATGAGCCCTGCCGTGCTTGCAGTTCACCCTGGTGATTCTCCTTCCGATGGGGATTTCAGATGGACGTGGTGTGTCTCCTTCCGCTGGATTTCTTGTACTTCAAAGTCGGGGTCAATCCACTCCTGCGCTTCCCTCGCTGTCTGAAGGTAAGCTAGAACTTACAGAATAACTCAGAGCATCATTTTAAGGGGATATGATGATGTTTGGTAAAGTCATTGCTTGCTAGAGGTGGAAAGAAAGTCTTATATATCATGCCCCGAGAGACTGTTGATTAAATACTTCATTCCAATCCTCATATACATGCACATTTTAATGTGAGTGTCAAAATCCATCCTTGGTAACTCCTGCTGCAAGGACACTATATGAGTAAAAGAGAAGGTGATAATCAATTTTTATAAGGGGACACTGTGCTAAAATTGKTTGGGTTCTCATGGAATGGCTTAGCACAAGCTCTCCTGGGGGCTGCTGGAAGCTGAAGCTTGCTGCTCTCCTTATCTTCTCAGTACATGGCCTTCTTTGAGTTTAATGACCGTCTCGAGGCTATYCTGAGCAAGGCGTACATCTACAGGTGAGAGAAACGACCAGTGAGTTATTTATGTGGGGAGAGAGCATCATAACCTGTCATCATCCCTCGTGCAACCTCTTTCTTTTTGGCAGAGTGATTCGGACCACTGCCTACCTGCTCTACAGCTTGCATGTGAACTCCTGCCTCTATTACTGGGCATCAGCATACGAAGGACTGGGCTCCACCACCTGGGTCTATGATGGGGAAGGAAACAGGTACAAACCAGAGCTTGGCTCTTCATGTGGTGCAGCCTCCGGTGATGGCCAGGAGCAAAGAAGAAGGTGTTGGGGTGCAGCTGCATTCCCAAAGGTCCCTGATATAAGGCAGGTGGTCTGGGAGGAAGAGGAGACAGGAAGAATGACTGGAACAAGAGGGTGGGAATGAGAAATCACTGGAGTTAAAATAAGGCACTGCAGGTCTGCAGATAGACTGAGATTTAAGGAATCCTTTCCAAAACTGCTGCTTCCTTTCCTCCCAGTTACATCCGCTGTTATTACTGGGCAGTCAAAACCCTCATCACCATCGGGGGCTTGCCAGACCCCAAGACGCTGTTTGAGATCGTCTTTCAGCTGCTGAACTATTTCACGGGTGTCTTTGCTTTCTCCGTCATGATAGGCCAGGTGGGTGAGCGCCTCCCTTTCCCAGGAAACGCCGTGCACCACATCCCTCCCCAAAGCTGCGCTGCAAGCAGGGAGTCGCACCTGCACGCAGGGATAACTGTGGTGTGCTCAGTGCATTCTGCAGGTATCCGCAGCTTTGTTTCGCTGGTGCTCAGCATCAACATCAGAAAAAAAAAATGGAAGGGATAAAAATCCCTTTAGAGCTCAATATAGGTCCACATTATTGTTCTGGCTTAACTGATGCGATAACTAAGTGGCACCAAAGAAACCATCTCTTCCAAATCTTCCTCTGCTTCAGATGAGAGACGTGGTGGGCGCCGCTACTGCAGGGCAGACGTACTATCGGAGCTGCATGGACAGTACCATTAAATATATGAACTTCTACAAAATCCCCCGAGCTGTTCAGAACCGAGTCAAAACGTGGTACGAGTACACCTGGCACTCGCAAGGCATGYTAGGTGAGCACCTAAAACGCTGCTGTCAAAAGTGCAGTGGGGCATCAGCACTGCAGGTTCAGGGCATTGCTGATCTAGCTGATCCCCTGCGTGTTCCTGGACTGACTCTCCAGGGTCATAAACACATAGGTTTTGGGCTTGTTCCACTTCTGGGAGCCATGGGGATAGGGAAAATCAAGGGATAGGGAAAGGCTGATCAATAGCATCCACAGCCTTTTAGACCTGGAAGTTTACCAGGCCCACAAGAGTTCAAGGAGATCCTCTTGGTTCAGCTGGTTCCCACTTCAGGCTGCCAAGATGTGGGCAACTTTCCCACCGATCCCTCAAGCGCTTGCTCAGACGCTTTGTCCCAAACGCCRTGGGTCACCAGTTTTGTACTCCCTGCTTCTTGCAGATGAGTCAGAGCTGCTGGTGCAGCTGCCGGACAAGATGAGGTTGGACATTGCCATCGACGTGAACTACAGCATCGTGAGCAAAGTGGCGCTTTTCCAGGTACCGCTCGTGCCTGCCGGGACGGGCGAGGGACGCAGGGTACACAGTGACACGCTAATGCCACTGCTGGCTTTATTTTGCTCCAGGGCTGTGACAGGCAGATGATCTTTGACATGCTGAAGCGACTCCGCTCCGTCGTCTACCTCCCCAACGACTTTGTGTGCAAGAAGGTAAGGAGCCACCCCAGCAACCTGCTCTTCATCCCAGCAGCGGCGTGTCTGGCTGCAGATGTCCCTCACTGCCTGCTGTGGCCCCGGAACAGGGACACAAAGAGCCGCATGGCTCCCAAAGACCATGGAAGGAGGCAGGTGGCAAGTTGAAACTTGGCTGCCTCTTCCCACACCCTCTGGGCCTTGACACACTTGCTTGGGGCTTTGCCAGGKGCACGGGACCGTAAAGAAGGGCAAAAACTGGGCATGGAGCCACATCAGGGGAGCAAAATTCCATCAAAAACCCCTCCAGGAGCAACTTGTTGCATTGCTTCTGATGTCCCTGTGCAAAGAGTGACCTCTCCTGCCACAGTCCTGAACAACAGGAGCACAGGGAGAGGTCTGCACAGAGCCTGAGCAGGCTTTGGGGTTGGATGAGGACGCTTGGAGGAAGCATTAGGAATTTCTCCCTCCCTCGTAGGGAGAAATCGGCCGCGAGATGTACATCATCCAAGCAGGCCAAGTGCAGGTGCTTGGCGGAGCCGACGGCAAAACCGTGCTGGTCACGCTGAAAGCGGGGTCTGTGTTTGGAGAAATAAGGTGAGCAGCGCGTCGGCAGGAGSAGGCAGCGGGTGGGCACGGGCAGGGCGAGGCGGAAGGCGCGAGGGTGAGCGGGGAGCTTGGGGGACAAGGGCCAGGGGAGGCTGCTCCTCAAACGAGTCTTTGCAACTAAACCCCACGAGCTACATTGCTGCAGGCAAAAGCTCAGTTCTGTATCCTGAGAAAGAGTGATGGGACACGGCGTGGGGAGGGCGAGGCTGGAGCAGACGACTATTGTACCGAGCGGCTTTGCCTCTTGCCCTGTCTCGCGCAGCTTGCTGGCGGCCGGCGGCGGGAACCGGCGCACGGCCAACGTGGTGGCGCACGGCTTTGCAAATCTGTTCATTTTGGACAAGAAAGACCTGAACGAAATTCTAGTGCATTACCCGGAGTCACAAAAGCTGCTGCGGCGGAAAGCAAAGTGAGTGCCAGGCTGCCCTCGAGASCGAGGGCGCCTTAAAAAGGCTGCGCCCCGCCAGCCTTCCCCTTCAGTTGTGGGCAGAAAGCTGCCAAAGTGAAGTGTCCTTGAGCCTAGGAAGGTGCAGGGAAGGCAAAGGCTGGAGGGGCTGTGGGAGGCAGCAGAGGGCACCCGTCCCTTGCAGTTGGCTGCCGCTGCGGCTGCTGTCACCACCGCCTCTGCGCTGGGCATGAGAGCTCTCCAACCGCTGGTTTGCAGCTTTCCCCCCCAAAATGGGCTAGACCTGTGACTCAGTGTCAGAGCTAAAGAGGAGTGTCTGAGCAGGTGATAATTTTAATGATAGTTCTGAGCACAGCACAAAGCGGACACCACCAGGGGACAAACTTGACCAAAGTTTATTCTTTTAACATRCTCTTAAAATCTCCTCTTTCCTTTCAGCATTGCTTAGATGGGCTCATCTGTCCTGCCTAAGGCTTTAGAGGTCCCTTTACAACAAAACTATAAGCTTCTAGCATTAGCAAACTAAGCTCATCCAACATATTCCCAGGCAGAAATGATCTCTTGCTTATCTTGTTGCAGGAAAATGCTGAGAAACAACAGCAAACCCAAAGATGACAAAGGAGGGCCCGAAGACTCCGTCATCATCCCTCCGAGACCCAGCACGCCCAAACTCTTCCAGGCTGCCCTGGCTGCCGCGGGGAAGGTGGGAAGCAAAGGGAGACTCGCACACCTCCGTTGGAAGCTCAAGGAGCTGAAAGCAATGCAGGCCATACAGGTCAGGAGAAGGGATGATAGTTTGGGGTTGYTTTGTTAACCACTGAATTGCCTCTCACCCCCATGGGCTCTTGAGGTTGAGTATAGCTGGTATCTAGCCTAGGCAACATGGAGCCTAGGGTCTTGGTTCTTACTTTTGCTCTTCTCCAACTGGGACAGGTCAAAAAGCTGCTGAARGCACCTCAAAGGCCTGAACAGAGACCACAGGGCTGACTCTGAAGTAGTGTGGATAAAGCAGAAGGGTTGACCCAAACTGGTCCTCAGATAAGGTCATGGTTCCCTACATAGTCCCGTTCGTAACTCCTCAATGGGCTGGTGGGACAGAGGTGATGATGGMATCCAGTGGCAGTGGGGCAATCAGGAGCTGCAAAGCTTTCACAGAGCTGTTAGGGCAAAGCCATGCACTCTCCTCCTAGCACGGCATGATCCAGAGCACAATGAGCTTTAGTTTTGTGTCCTAAGCGACTGAAMAAATGACAGCCCACCTGTTGTTGTTTTCTTTTTTCCCAACTCTCTCCTCTAGTCTCATAACAAACATCTCCACACAGATGTTGCTACCAACCTCCTTACTGTGGAGTTATAGAAGCTGCCACTTCTGAAAGCATAAAAAAAAACCCAAAAGGAGAGATGAAGCGCACCGTGGCCTTGGCAGCGGGGTAAACACCTAGGGAACCGTGGAGAGCTGGGAACGCGTTTCTGGCGTCCTGTGCAAAAAGCCTGTCGAGACCACATGCAGCTCGGGGTGCAACCAAGTGAAATGTGAGCTAGAAGCTGCACAGATGGTGATGACAGCAACACCCATCCTCACTGGGTGCATTTATTAAGGGCCCCAGCTGCCTGCTGATGGCCCATTAAGTAGACCTGTTGCTTCATTCCTCACCAGGRGCACATCCAGAAGAGGATTTCTGAACCTGCGGCCACTTCTCTCTAATGGGATAAAAATGGGCCTTAAGACAGGGCAGTCAGGGGCTGATTTCATCACACCAAGGTTTTTGCAAAGTTAGTGCCAAGAGGAGCCCCTGCAAACGCTCTAGATACTACAGGATCAGAAAAAGAGCTAAAGCCTGAGGTGTGAGAGAGCTTCACTGCCCTTGTCTCGGCACAGTTATCTCCAGGCATTAAGGCTATAATCACAGAACCACAGAATGGCTGAGGTTCCATAGAATGGTAGGGACCTCTAGATGCTCAGGCAGGGTCACCTAGAGCACATGGCACCGGCTTGCATCCGGGCAGGTTTTGAAGATCTTCAAAGGAGATTCCATAACCTCTCTGGGCAGCCTGTTCCAGTGCTCTGTAATCCAGCTTCTCTCAATGATCATCTTTTTGCAGCAAGATGAAATTCTGAAGATGAGGTTGGCACCCTCTCAGATGCCTTGCTTTGGACAACCAGACAACAAAGTGTTGTAGCTCGAGGGTACCAGCTAAGGGACCCAACTACAGACCTGGGTCTCCTAATGTTTTGCCATTTTGTGCCTTGCAGGATCCCAGCTTCAGTCCAATTCCGCCCAAATCACCAGTACACCGGCGATCACCCACAGCCTCCCCCAAAGCCGAGACCCCAAAGGGGGAAGAAGTCATCGCGACGTCTTCGGACAATTTAGTTGCCATTCGGATGATTTCTGCCCCGCAAGAGGATGAGGAGATCCTTTCTGCTGAGATTTCGGAGAAGGAAGAAGAAATGAAAAACGAGCAAATTCCAGGGTAGAAATGCMACAACTAGGTGTTTTTAGTCGTTAATCATTTCCATGGGGTGGCTAGAGGCTTTGCTAACTCTTGATACCAATAGGCTCTGCCTTTCTTTTTTGCTTAGACCTTCACCCACTGCTGATAAAGCCCATTACTCTACGCACTTTTTACCACTCTGTGGTTAATGAGTGTCGGTTCAGGTGCAACTTGGAGAGTTTTTCTCCTCTGAAATCTGAGTCATTGCTTGGCCAGAGACAAGCACGACTGCGGGAAAAAAAAAAAGGAAAAAGAAAAGATTCCTCTGTTGGCCTCAAGGTTGTCATGAGCAGTTGCTGGATGATTCATCTGGAAAAGATTCGAGTTATTCTCACAAGCTGAACAGAGTTCAAATCGTTCGGTGGTGGAAGAAAGCCCGCCTGGGCACACACAGGCTGCAGGGCCCCCTGCTCCGCTCGGGATGCCCTTCCCCACAGTGGCAGCCCCACCGGAGGACGCAAAGAAGAGCGAAACGGTAGGACATGCAACCTGTGAGGAAAGGCTGGGCAAGAGGAAGTCTTGTGTTGCATTGGGAGCAATCCAATACTGCCATTGGAAAGAAGAGTGAATGGGAACAGCCTGCAACTCCCCATCACTGGCAGGTTTAAGGACAGATTGGATGACCATCTCTTGGGGGTGATAGAAGCCCAAGGGAGACCATCACGGACCAGGTGATGGCGTCTGCTGAGGCATCCCAGCCGTGGTTATCCATGCTTCTGTCACAGCAGAAGAGGAAAATAAAGATGGAATTAAGCAGGTGAAAAGACTTGCTGACTTCTGGCTGGACCAGAAAAAGAAAAAGCGAGATCTCCTCCTCTCCAAGCCAGTATTTCACGTTCAGTCCAGAGTKTCCTTTGGGAGGAAAAGACGGGCTGCAGTTACTGCGTGGAGCCGCCACCAGGATGGAACAGAGGGAAATGCTGGCTCCTGAGCAAATCCCTACCGGTCTGGAGAGTCCGTGAAACGGCAGAGCTCTGAATAAAAGGGATGGCAGTGTGGGTGTCATCAGCCCCTATCTTTTTTGGCCAAAACTCTTTTCATAAAGGACCTTTTGGCTGCTCYTCATCTCATGACGGGGTGTCATGCTTTGCCGCAATGGCCATCAAATTTATCCTCTCTCTTGGAGACCCCATGGAGGAAAAATGAGGAAAAAGCAGGATATAAATTAATGTTAATTAACAGTGATTTATTTTATTGAAAGAGAAACGTTCAGGAAACTCCACCATGTTGCCCAAGGGTMCGAAGCTATCCCTATCCTTAAGATGGCAGAGGAAAGCACAGAGAGCATCAAATCCTCTCAAGATATCCCTCATCCTTCATCATTTACAATTTGTTTCCAGATGTCCTTTTTGGTGGAAGGATTTGGTGGGSAGTATAAAGTGGGTTTTTTTCATCCTATCATCATTTAAACTATCAAAACAGGAAAACGTGCTGACGTCGAACCAGGGTGCTGAACTTGCACTGCATTTTTACGTAGTTTACAAAATTAGTTTAAATAACTTGCATGCTTTAACGGCTTTCATCATCTGACACATTTACAATAAAGCCAACTTAGATTATGCTTCCTTTTCTGTGCTTTTTTATTTCAAAACTCCAGTTGTTTTCCTTCTTTTCATCTTTTTGAAAACAAGATCGATTGAATTCCTCCATAAGGAGGATTTATTTTTATTGCTAATGACATTCAGATGAAGATCTCTTTCTTTTTCCCAAGACGATAATGGAAACTTAACTGGTCGTTCGATTTGGAAACTCGTAAAGATCTAAACTTATTCCCCTCAGTGACTGACTTAGGGCTTTTGTCCTTTCAAGGTTGGTGCCCAGGTGATAACTAAGGTCAAGGCTGGGCTCAGAGGCAGGTTTGGAGACRTGCCATTCCCCTGGTCCCTGTCGGGAAATCCCATCCCTTCTACCTAAGTGGGCCGATGGGCACCTCTGGGCCCACATAGGGTCTCTGCCACTGGGGGACTTGTCATAAATTCGAGATTCTGATGATTTTTTTGCATCTCGGTTTACTGATGGCTCCAGTTTCGTTGCATTTGCAATGGGTTTCCTTTGCATTGGCTCCTATTAAATATTTTTGCAGCACATGCTTGGTCCATCATTTCCACCACCCTAATAATATTGCATTTTTTTCGGTAATGTTCCATGTATTTTTATGACTTTATCCTCTTTGCTTCTTCTCTTTCATTGTCATTCGAATGCTCTATTATCTTAGGTATTTCTACTCATACAATATTTATCCAGCACAAGGGTTCCTTATTGCCCACCAGCATCCAGTGCAACCCTACAAATCCTGCGGTGCTTTCTTGCTTCCCCATGTGTATGTTTTATATTCATAAGCAAGTGGTTTCTCAAATGTCCATGGTCATGGAAACTAGACAGTTTTGCAGCAATCTTTGACCCTTTGTGACTTTGGGGTAATAAGGGAAATGGGTAATTTTATTGATGGAAAAAGTCAAGTGTGTTGTTGTCAGATCTTTCCTAATGAGCTGATTTGGGCACTAAATCATTTGTGGTGCCTTTATGAGTGGTTTTCTCTATTCATATGGCAGACACACCATTTTTTTTAATGTCTTTCTGAAAATCGAGGGTGATTTAATGCTCCTTAGGAAAAAGGTAACCCAATAATAGTATTTAACAGCATAGAAAGTTGTCYGAAGCAGGGCAGGTGTGCTCCCTGCAATCTCCTAAAAAGCTTAAGAGCAACTGCAGGTTAATCGCCAGTAAGGTTGTAAGGAAAGTAAAAACGAATAAGCAGGTTTGAGGATTAGCCCTGGGTCGGGAAAGAAATTGCAGGATGAGCAGAAAGCCTGGGATAATGGCTAATTAGGAAGCTTGAAATAAAACCAAACCCTCTCAGTGTGAAATCTGAGGGTCTCAACGCACAGCACGCGCTCCTAATTCTGCGAATGCTCTGCAGACCACTTGTATACCCTATGTGTGTATATATATATATATATATATATATATATATTTATGTGATGTGTATCTGCTTTGAGTTGCAACTGGGATTCAGTTCCGCTGAATTCACCTTGGCATCACTATAAAATGGAGTTAAGACGAGTCCTTGCTGCCCCCAGCCTTGACCTAATGATGGGCAGGAGCCTAAAGCTCATTTTAGGGGCAGTAGTAATAGTTCTGGCAAGTGCTGATGCACTGGGACAAGGCCAGGAGCAGGTTCAGGACGGAGTCACATGGAGGGGTGTAGAAAACRCACCCGCCCGTCGGTGCTCATGAACCGCCGGTGTCAGCAGCTCGCTGGGCGGACCGTAAGCGGCTTTCCCTTTCTTAATGCGTCCCCGGCAGATGGGAGCGCAGGGCAGAGGCACCGGCGGGCTTGGGCGAGCTCGGCGCAGGCCGCGCGCCGCCATGCTCGCGCTCGCCGCCCTGCTGGGGCTCTCGCTGCCTTCCTGGCTCCGAGGCAAGCGGAAGCGCTCGGAGGCCGCGCTTGGAAAGGCCTGCGCGGGAGCTGCCGAGGGCCGTCCCAATGCACAGGTGAGGGCCGGGATGTGAGGGCACGGGGTAGCTCCAGCTCAGGCACTGCTCACAGCCCAAGCCAACGCGAGCGTCTCTACCAGACCGTACGCATATCCTGGCTTTGTATTTCTCCTTGGGTTAATCCTAACGATGGCACAGCAGCCATGAGAGAAGGGTTTTTCCTAYTGGATTCCCATTAGGTCACTATTTTGCTCAAGGCAAATGCCTGATGGAGGGGACTCMGTTTCCCCTTTCTCATGATGCCCCTCTTGCACTAAGCTAGGAGGGACTTGGGGATCCCTCCTGTGATCCTGCATGCCTTCCTTGGCTTTGGAAACACTCTTGTAATACCTGAGGGACCCCAGYTCGCAGACAGGGACGACAACCTCATGTTCATCTGAGGACAGGAGGTGGAGACCTATCCTTGGGTTGAGCGTGGGGATGGAACTTTGACATGGGATTGCAACTTCGGGTTGGATGTGGGGACTGTAACTTTCAGTTGGATGTGGGGATGTAGCTTTGACTTGCGGCTGTAGATTTGGGTTGTATGTGGGGTCAAAACTTTGGGCTAGAAATGAGGATGTGTCTTTGGCTTGGACATGGGGATGTGGCTTTGGGTTGGACAGGAGACATAACTTTGAGTTGGAAGTAGGGACATAGTTTGAGTTGGACGTGGGGACACGGTTAGGGGTTTCTGCCTGGGGTTGGCGAGCTTGGAGTTTGCACCAAGCCTGTGCCATGGGCAGGGCAAGGAACTGTTTGCATCTCCCCAAAAACATTTTCTTTCTTGAGCCCATTCTTAAGATAAGGCAAAGGGGCTCTGCTCCTATCAGTCGAGGCTGGTTTCCTTCCGCATCTCATTGGCACCTTAGATGAAGTGAGAACACGGCCCCAGCTGCCTCTCTGTCACAGGCTGCGGCCGAGACGCATCCATTATACATAGCCCATAAATATTCCATGGGGGATAATATTTCCATGGCGGGTAACAACACCACTTTGCCAGAAGAGGAGAAGGAGCACGGATGGGTGCTGGATTTCCCGGGAAAATCGGGAAAATTGAAAGGTGAGGAGCTGGGGGGATTGCTAAAAACACCCGATTCTCCTGACAACAGAGTGCTTTTTTTCTAAGCAATTGCYCAAATCACCGTGGTCCCCAGCTCCAACCCCGCCGGCCAGGCTCCCATCGCCACGTTGCCGCTTCGGGTGTCCTAAATTCCCCATAGCAGCTTCCAAAGGAGCCCCAATTCCTCCGGGGCGCGCTAGTGCTTAATTAAAACATGCCGAAGAGCTTAAATAGCATGGGGGGAAATAGCGGCCTGGCGCCGCGAGCCGTGGGGCGAGGAAAATGCGCATTAAGCCGCCCGGCTTGGCAGCCGCCTCCTTTCTCGCCACCGCAGAGGTCCCCCCCGCACCGCGCGGGGGGACCCACAGCTCCAGACTCGCTTCCCTGCTGCTTGTCCCCAGGCACATCAATGCAGCTGGTGCATTCCCATGTAATTTTTAGTGTTATATTATTTCATTCAATTTTATTATATATATATTTTTTTATTTTATTTTATTTTATTTTATTTTATTTTATTTTATTTTATTTTATTTTATTTTACTTATTTTTAATTTTAATTTTAATTTATTTTTATTCTTTACTTCATTTCGTTTTATAATGCTATTCAGTGATTTTGCTATTTTATTCATTTGCTTTACTCTCTTTATTTTTATTTTTGTTTTTGTTGGTAGGCCGCTCAGGCGGGGACGCTTTTGCAGCAGGGGTGAGGAGGTGCTCAAAGCAAGTGGCACATGAGAGATTAAAAAAAATAGATAAAATACATAATGATAATATATAAAATAATAAAATATAATGATAGCACACATGATAAGATAAGATAAGATAAGATAAGATAAGATAAGATAAGATAAGATAAGATAAGATAAGATAAGATAAGATAAGATAATAAAAAAAAGATGGACACACACTGCTTCACTGCATTTTCTTTTCAGCCACTCAGGGCTGCTTCACCCCCCAGCTCTACGTGAGCATGGTCGGGGGCTGAGACCAGACAGCACTTGTCACAGCTCAGGTCATGTCCAGCATATCCAGTCCTTAGCGCTGCTTCATCCCTGAGCTGCTCCCCGGAGCTGCAGGAGAAGCCTGGGCATATCCTTAGTCTCAGCCTATTTGCCGGTCTGGGTCCAACTGAGGCACCTTGTGTGGGACACGACCTTCTGGGTAAAATAACTCGCAYTGAGAGCTGAATTTTGCCCCAGTGGAGCCTGCGGCCCTGCAGGAAGGTGTCCCTGGTGCCACACGCGCCGTGAGCACGGGCGCTCTGGGCGCAGCGGKGGCGCGTGTGGCCAGCGGGCCCTGCCAGCCCCGGGCTTGTGCCCGAATGGAGCTGCCAGCACATCTGCCTGGCGGCCGCGGCCCCTCGTGCCGCTCCGTGCCCCGCGCGAGCGGTTGTGACCTGCCCGCAGCATGGGAAGCAGCGGCACACCTGTGGGAAGGGGAATGCTTCGGGAAGGCGAGGCCCTTCCGCCCGGGCTCTGCGGCTCGCTGTCCGGYGCGCCACGGGCCCGCGCGCGACACGGGGGTGTCCCCAGGGGCGACACGGGCACTGGAGGCTGAGCTTTATTCGGGGGCTGGAGGCTGAGCTTTATCCGGGGGCCGGAGGCTGAGCTTTATTCGCTC